TTTAGCGAAACCTTCCTCCGTCCTCTTTCCGAGGTAGCGGTGGAGTTGGTGACCTCACCACAGGACGGATACTGAGAAGCAGGCTGGGGGTGACGGGGACTGGCAAGAACTCGCTCCTGCCAGCGGATCTCCTCCGGAGCCGCTTACGCACCGTGCTGCCTTCCAGCGCCCCAAAGCTGGGACCGGGGGTCTACACCTGCTCGTGGGTTCAGGCTGTAAGGAGACAGAGCACCTGGTGACACTTCATGGGCTGCCCTGACCAGGGCTGCCTGCGGCCGTAGCAATGTCCTCTTGCAGGCAGCACACGCCAAGGCAGCCCAGAGCAGGCTTTGCAGCACGCCCTGTCCCCAGGGCCCCGGAACAGCTGGATTGAGGGGATCCAGCTGCAGAACATGTGTCGGCATCTGCACCCCCTCCCCAGCAGCTCGGGACAACCCGGGCAAGCGATGCTGCAGAAGGCAGGGGACTTTGCAAGGCAGGGGAGATGGTGGGAGCTGTGTTTCCCTTCTGTCCCCTGCCAGAGTCTCCTCTGGCTGAAGGTCTGCGTGCTGGAGAGCTGGTGGCAGGTCCCAGTCTGGCTGGAGCCCCACCAGAGAGGAAGAAAGTGTCATGAATAACACGCCCGACCTCACTAACTAGGCTAGAAATAGCTGTCAGGGGAGTTTTGTTGAGTCATGCAGAAGAGGCTGTGGCAGTGAGTGATAATGGAAAGCAGTGGTGGGAGGGGGACACAGGCTGATGTCCTGGAGGTAACACATGGGGATGAGCCGCTGTCACCAGCCTCCTGCCCCATCCCAAAGCCGCAGAGCAAATGCCGCATTAGCTAGGAGCACGTAAAAGGCACCCAGCCGTGGGGAGCCAGGCTATGGTAAGACAACAGTGGTTTACGAGATCAGCTGCATTTGGGAATGCATATTACAGCAATATCAGCAAAAATTAAAAGAAACGATACCTTCAGCAGCTGTTCTGCTGCTCTCTGTGCATGGAAGTGGACTTACCTGAGCTCTTTGGTCAGGTGAAACCCAGGGCAGGAGCTGCCGGGCAGAGGGAGGAAAATAGCGTTCTCTGCTTCGACGGTTTCACGCCTCACAATGGCCTAAAGCACGTTATCTTGCATTACCTTATAATAGAGTTGGCAGATTTAGGCTAACCTATGCTCTGTCTAAAGCCAGAGGATGAGGAGTGCTCTCCCTGCCCTGCCAGGCAGGGGCAGCTCGAGGAGCGATAGCTGCCAGCCAGTGACCAGGAAATTCTTCAGCTCTTGAAGCAGATGAAGCTCTGGCTCTTGTCTCCATGGAGAGAAAGGGAAAAAGGGAGGAAAAAAAAAAAAAAGAAAAAAAAAAAAAGAGTGTGCTGTAATTGAAGTTAGTTGCAGACAAGGTAATTTCCACATGAGTTAGCAGAACAGCTAGTTGGAAATTTTTGATAAAATCTATTTTTCTTTGAAAATGCAGATCCAGTGAAATGTGAAGGCTTTCCACTGGAAAGAATGAGTTTTGCTGGATTTCTCAACTAGTTCTCTAGAAAATTTGTAAATGGTCACAATATTTTAACCACCACTGCTATTTTTTCAGACCAAAATTTATACTCCTACTGCCTTACAGCATGACATGAAAAATGCAACATTTTTTGCATCATCGCTTTATTTGTTTGAACTTCAATATTCTACAGATCTTTTACCCTTATTTTGGATCAAGGAAAAGCTTGAGAGGCCAAGACATCACTGGGATAAGCAAACCATTTCCCATAAACCGTGGGAAGCTCAGGCTGAGGAGCAATGCATAACATAGGACGTACCCCTCCTGTTAGCACCAGTTAGTACCACAGCCGGGTTTCTCTTGACCTCGTGGGTAACTCGTGCTGGTTTCTGCTGACAGGAATGCGGTTCGCAGGGGCAGGGTCTGGCCAGCCTGGTCACACCTCGTCGTCCCCTGTGCCAGTGCCAGCACCAGCCCTGGGTGCTCGCCCCGTGCCCTGCTCCCGGCCAAGCTGAAAGCACGTCGCTTTTCCTATCGCTGGGAGAAGGGGGCATTGCCCTCAGTGCTGACGTGGATTCAGTTCTTCTTGCAGTACCTGTGAGACCACAACCTAGAATCCTGTTTTTCCTCGAATCGGGAAAGCACACAGACATCGATAAAGATAATAACCCGACACACCATTTCCCTGGCTCAGTTTCTGTACCTTCACAACCTTTCTTTGGCCTCAGGAGTTTCCAGGCTTGCTTTCTTTTTTAAAGCTTACCTCCCCTCCCCTGGGCACTGGGAGCTTCTCTGTCCCTTAGCAGGGCCAGCATCTCTCTTCCACCCCTCTTACCCTAAGCTTGATGTGTCTTTGGGTGCCTTCCCTGCAGGGTAAAACCAGTACCAGGATCCCTTCTATTTTTAGTACACCCTTTAGCAGATGCTCCAATCCCCGGAGAAACCTTCAGGCATCAGCAGCCCACTGTCCCCAAGCACCGCTGTCCTCACACAGGTCAACCACCAGCTGCTGCTGCTGATCCACGGGGACACGACACAGCCTGTGTCAACAGCGCCGGATAAACACGGCTCCGGAGCACTCGGGAAGCCCGGGGCAGCGCCTGGCACCGACCGAGCACCCGGCGGTACGCGATGTCCCTGCCGGCCACCCAGCTCTGTGTGGCTGCAAGGCTGCAGCCCTCCGCAAGCCTTGATGCGAGGAAGACGCCGGTGAAGAAGCAGCACAAAGGGCAGGACATCTTATGGCGACACGCATGGAAAGTACAGCCTGGGAGGGGGTTTAAATGAGGAACAGAGGCCACACAAAATGTACCAGAAACACCCACCAAAGGCAACAGCAGAGTTTTGGGCTCCGTCCAGGCAGCCCCCAAGAGCGTCCCTGTAACGTCACCAAGTGCCTGGGCTGGGGCAGGAGGCTGGCACGGCTTTAGGGACGGGCTGAAGCCGGGCTGAGCTCACCCACCTGCTATCACGGCGCTTCGTGGGCGTGCGGGAAAGCACGTCCCTGCCCCAGGGAGCTCGAGTGCCACCCGAGGACAAGGGACCCTGCTGAGGAGAAGCGCAGAAGAGACCAAGGTGGGCACGGCAGGTCCTGGCACAACGTGCTTCACGCCCAGAACCCAGCTGGCTGCGTCTCCCCAGGGACATCAGCTGGGGCCCACGCTGGAGCAGGGGATGGAGCTGGGGAGCACCGGGATGGGAGAGGACGAGGGCTTGTGGTGGCGGTGGGAGGGTGGCTGGCATGCACCGGGGCTTTGGTGAATGAGAGGGGCACGAGAGCTGGAGCAAAAAGAGGAAGGGTGAGTGTGGAAGCAGGAGATCCAAGCAAATAGCTGCCCTCGAGCAGGAGGCTGGGTTTTCACCAGCAGCACGGGCTGCCTGCCCGTCCCAAAGGTCCCTGCAGGGTGGTGACACGCAGCACCAGGCTCCCCCGTGACGCCCCAGGCACCCCGGCATGGCCGATCGCTCGCCGTGACGAGGCGCAGAGTGCCGGATCAAAGGGAAACTGAGGCGGGGATGGAAACGCGGGGCCATCAAAGGCGCTGGGGGTCCCTCGGGAGCTGGATGCCCATCAAAGTCCGGGAAGCTGCAGCCCCAGTGGCAATGTGGGCAAGGCATATGTTTTACAGCAAAAACGCCTTTTGCTTCACAGCAAAACCACGATAAGCTTGAAAGGGAAAAGAAAAAAAAGAAAGTAATTGGGATTTTAAGTGACTTCCAAGCCCTTTTGCTCTCACAGCCTCTAACCCAACAGGTGTGTGGACAAGCAGGTAGCCCAGGCCAGTTGGAGACTTTCAAGGTGCAACCAAAGAGATATGAAACATTTCATCACAGCCTTATTTTTATCTTTCCCCAGAGCCGGCCCCAGCCCTTCAGGTGCTCATCGGGCACCTGGCTGCTATCGTGGGGGGTGCAGCACCGCTCTGCCCTGGGAAGCTGGACACACTGCACCCGGGACAGACAGCTGGCTGTTGTATGCGGACCGAGAGCATCCATCACACCGCGACAACAGCCATCCCACATCGCTGGTGCAGCTCACCGTCCCACTTAGCACCTTCTCCTGCCGCCCTCCCTAGCTGGGGTCCTACCCCCCCCCAATATTAAACACTGCCCGAGCGTGGGCTGGGTGCTCAGAGGGTGCCAGATGCCCCAAGAACTGCACCTCTGCCAGCACTTACCCCCTGTGACGGAGACCGAGCTGCCCCTGACTCGGGAGTGCAGGCGCTGGGGGCGGGAACGTCCTGCCCCCCCCCCCCCAAAGAGCCCATGACCCAGCATCAGCCAGGGACAGCACAAGACTTGATTTTTCTCTCATTCTCACTATCCCAATGGTTGAGAACAGGGCAGACTTCCTTCCTGCATCCACAGCAGTGCCCGGGGTTGTTTTAAGCCCTGCCAACTCCACAGCATCCTTCAGATGACGGCTTGGCAGGGAAAGGCAGAAGAGAGAGGTACGTAGGATCCTGCTGAAACCCCCTCCCCTCCCCACCCCGGCACTGTGACCCACCACCAGACACCGTTCCCTGCCACTGCCCACTCCTCGCAAGGCTGGGTGATGCTTTCAAGAGCAGGAGCAGGTGGTTAACTGACCTATTAAACCTACTTAAAAGGCAGGTAGTGACTGCTGGAAAAGCTGTGAAACACTCAGGTGGTACCAATGGAGACAATTCCCTTTCCACAAACAGCCCAAAATGGGTTCAGGGGGGTGGTAGATCAATACAAGCAGCCCAGGCCTAGGTTTCTTGTCCTGGGTGATGAGAATGTATGACGGCAGGGTAGAAAACCCACCCGCAATTGCTTATAGAGTGTTTAATTTCTTGCAGGGAACAGAGCAGATGCGGGCACCTTCCTTCTAGAGAAGGAGAGATGGCCCAGAGCTCAGCACCAACCACGCTCCCTTTATTGGGTTTGCAAAACACACAGGGTACCAGTGAGGGGAGGAGACCTAAAATATAATAATGTCATTAATATTATTAATAATTAGAGTTCTGACTGATTGCTACAGTTCCTGCTCCTCAGGGCTGGGCTACACTTTGGTGATGCTGTCTGCTGGCTTCACCTCAGCTGGCTCCTCTCTTTTGGGGTGGTGGGGTAAGACCCCCACCCTGTTGCTCCGGAGTCCCACGCGCTCCGGTGACTTCTGTCCTTTCTTCAGAAGGCAGCAAGCCCCAGAGCTGAGAAAGAAAAGGCTCATCACGACCACGAGCAGAGCCAGCGAGCCGGTGCCCTTGGGATGTGGACAAAGCCACCAAGGACTGCTGGTTATTTTGGCTGAGAAGTTCCTGCTCTCGTCCCAGTAGGTGCAGAGGGCTTCGTCCAGGTCCCGCACGCCCACGCCGGCTGCCTGCAGCACGTCCAGCCAGGCCAGCGAGCAACAGCTGAAGGGGTTTCCAGCGACGGACACGTCCTTCAGGCTGTGGGACCAGCTCACGAGCGCCAGCTTTTCCAACATCAGCAGGTTGTTATTGCGAACGTCCAGACTTTCCAGCGGGGAGCAGAGAAGACCTGCGGGCAAAAGGCTCAAATTATTGCCCGAGAGGTCCAAGACTTTGAGCGTGTCCAGGCAGGGGAGCTCTGTCTTGCTGTTGTCCATCTGGTTGCCCCTCAGAGAGAGTTTCTGCAGGGAGAACTCCAACCCCCCCAGGGCTTCCTTAGGCACGAACAAGCCCTTGTTCCCTGACAGGTCTAGGGAGAGCAGCGAGGTCCGGTTGAAGGCGTAGGGCTGCAGCCTGGTGATGTTGTTATTGCAAAGACTCAGATGCTTCAAGTGAGGCACGTTGTAGAAGGGGGTGCAGGTGCCTCCTCCTGAATTCCCTCCCTGGTCGCTCCCCTGGCTCTCGCAGGGCTGGAGGTTGTTGGAGCCCAGATCGATCGTTTCCAGCTGAGGCAGAGAATCGAAAAACCAGCGTGGCAGCACGTGGATGGCATTGCCATGGAGGTCCAGTGAGCGCACGGAGAGGTTGGCGCGCTCCGGCGGCGCAGGCGTGCGGTCGCGGGGCTCCGTGCCATCGGTGAGCGACTCCCCAGCTACGTCCTGGAGACAGTTCATAGCCAGACTGAGGCTGTGCAGAGAGCCCAGGCTGTGGAAGAAGGTAAATGGGAACAGCTGCAGCCGGTTATTGCTGAGATCCAAGTCAGCTACATGTGTCAGACCGGCCGCGGTACGCGAAGTCCTATTAAACCTCGCCATCTCCTCGTAGTGCAGTACAAACTCCCCCGGATGGCGTGAGCCTGGGAGCAGGGAAGCAATAAGGTTGTTGGAGAGGTTTAAGTGTGTGAGGTAATGGGCTTTGGGGAGCTCTGGAAAATAAAGGAGTCTGTTATGGCTCAAGTCGAGCACTTGAAGCAGGTAGGGTTCCGCTGCCTCCTCTGAGACGAAGAGCTCCAGGGCGTTGTGGCTGAGATTTAAAACTCGCAGCTGCATGAGGCTGAAGCCAGAGATACAGTGGAGGGAATTCAAAGCCAAGTTCACCACCTCCAGCTCTTCCAGAGCCTCAAAAGCTCCCTTCTCGATTTCCATGATGTAGTTGTTGCTGAGGTCGAGCTTGCGCAGCCGTGGCGTGCTCCAGAAGATATCCGTCAGCAGGCTGGTCATCTTGTTCCTGGAGAGATCCAGAATCCTCAGCCTGGTGAGGTTGCTGATGTACCAGCCTGCCATGTGGCTCTCCAGATTATTTGCCGACAGGTCCAGGACCTCTATATTCCTGAGCAGATGAAAGGCTCGCCCATTAGCGAGGTAATTGCGGTCCAGGTGGTTCGATCCCAGGAGGAGAAAGCGCAGCTCGGGCAGCTGAGCCAGGGTCGTGTCTGACACGGCTTCCAGCTGGTTGAAGCACACATCCAGGTACTCAAGCTGCCCAAACCCTGGCATGTAGGTGCCTGACAGGTTTTGGATGAAGTTGTTGGAGAGCTCGAGGTACTTAACTCCTTGGCTGAGCTCCTTTGGAAACTTGCGCAGGCCAACTCCTTTGCAAGACACCTTTGTGAGGCTCTACAGAGAGACAGGAGAAGCTGTCAGCATGAGAGGGGCTACAAACCACAGCTCCAGCCAAGCCATCTGCTCTCCAAGATGGGCAAGAACAACGTGGAAATGAGCACCAAGCCTGGGATGGGAAGGGGCCAGACCACCTAAAGCCACAGCTCAGAGACAAGAAGCTTGTCCCCAGGGTTAAGGTGGGCTTTCTGAGACACTGCTAAGTTTTTTTCTGATGGTGCAAGGAGAAGGCTCAGCCTCTGGCCCCTCAGGCTGTTTTCCCATGTGTCCCAGCAAGCAAGGTGGGCAAAAAAGTAGCGTAAGCACTGAAGATGCAGCAGGCTGGTGGGGCAAACCCAGCCTCTGGAGGGCACTGGGACAGCCCAGGGACTGGTCCAGAGCATCCCTGTTCTGTCTGGGCAGAGAAAGGGCACCGTCCTGGTGGGCTCAACCTTCCCTCTCCCTCCAAACTGGTTTCCTCTGCCAGTTTGGAGTCGGGAGCCTGGACATGGAGGAGCTGGTTTCTGCCCCTCACCCTGCCACGTTTGTGGTGGGACAGAAACCAGCTGCTCCATGTCCAGGCTCCTGACTGCCTTGCTAACATGCGTGGCAGCTGTCTGAACCCCCGTGAGACCCTGCACGCCGTCCTGCCACTTGGCAAGCATCTCGAGCTGACAATGACACCCCTGTGGCAGGGACTGCTGGAAGGTGTCACCGGCACGGCAGGGACATGGGAGAAGCTGGGTGCTGGGGACCAGCTAGTGGGTGACCAGCTCAGAGACAGGAGAGCAGAGAGATCAAAGCTGGGAAGGTTAAAGAGATGGAGGTTGGAAGGAGGGGAGAGCCGTGGGGAGGAGATGCACCCTGCGCTGCGCAGAGGGATGCTGGCAGCCCCGCTCGGACCCAGCGATGCTGCCGGGGCCATCCCAACCCAGGGGCTCCTCGGAAAGCAGCCTTACCTGCTGGCACAGCATGGACCTGGGCCTCGTCTCCCCACTAGATTGGGCTCTGAGAACAGACGGGAGCAGCCAGAGCAGCAAGCATCCTCTTTCAGCCACCCGATGTTCAAACAAGAGCATGTTGGGCTCTGGGCACTGCCAGCCCTGTCCCGCTCCTCCAGCGCTCTCTGGCAAGCTGGGCAGGAGCCGGGCTCTATATAAATAGGCTTCAGGATGGGATGGGGGAAGGAGATAACACATGTGGGTGTTCGTAGCTACGGAAGTGGGAAAAGAAAGACATAAGATTGCAGAGGGGGAAAAACAGTGCAAAAAGCCACAAGGAAGGGAAAGAGAAACGGCAGGACGGGGAGGAGGCAGGGCTGCACCGGTGCTCAGGTGATCAGCTGGACCGACCACCAAAATCGAATGCCGGGAGGCAGAGATGGTACTTGGGAAAGCCGAGAGCTTTTGGGGGGAATTCCCCTGCGTGGACCTGCTCTTCCTCCAGCTTCCTCTGCCCCGTACTGGGGCAAGCTGTGCCCCGTGCCAGCTGGTGCCGAGGACACCGGGAGCAGCCGGCGAGGGCTCCCCGGCCATCCCAAGCCGGGAACCAAGCTCCTGGGGATCACCGTGGGACTCCCGATGCCTCCGGGGCCGCAGGTGAGGCAGAGCAAATTCCCCTCCTTGCACCATCACAGCCCAGCCGAGGGGACTCTCCCACGGCACCTGTCCCTCCTCGGGGAAACAACGGCTCCCCGGGATTTACCACCCGTTCCCAGCGAGATGTGCCGAGCTGGCATCCCCCTCCTCCTCTTCCTCCCCAGGAGCCCGCTGCGCTGCGAGTGCTGGGCTCCTCGCTGCCATGTCCCTGCCAGGACCGGAGGACGGCTGCTGGGTCACCTCGTCGCCCAGGGCAGGAACCAGACAGGGACTTTCCCTGTGGCAGCTCCAGGTGGTATCTGGGCTCCCAGAGCTGCACCCCACCACAGGGATTTTTTTGCGGTGACATCTCCATGTCCCCGTGCCACCTAGTGCCCACACGCTCCCGGGGAGGGGGGACACACGGGACATGCTCCTCGGGAGCTTCGTGGGGCGTTCCGCAAAACGCACGCTTTTGGGGTTTTTGGCTCGCTGCAGCCCATTTCTTTCCCATCCGAAAGAGCACCTCCAGGCTGCTGCGTGGTTGCCCAAGGATGTGCTTTGCTGTAGTTTCAGCTGTCGAGCTGTTGCTCTAGTCTTAGATGCGTCTGGCAGGGGGGAAAAAAAAATTATATATATAAACACACAGGCACATCTGGAAGATGAAGCAGCCTGGCTTCTGCTGCTGCCCCTCGCCCTGCCGACAGCGGCCGTGGTGGGGAGCGCTTTGCCACCTCCGGGATGTGGTTCAGCCTCGAGCTAGACCAACGTCACCAGTCAGCCAGGGCTCAGCCCGGACACCAGGGCCCGTGTTTTGGGCTGACGCTCGCTGCGGCAGACCTGGGCTCCGGCAGCAACCGGGGCCAGGGCAGCTGCGAGCAAATAGCCCGCCGTTGTTTTCGGAGGCGCGGTGAGGATAGCACATCTGTGCAGATGTAAAAATCCTGTAGGCTCCGGCCAGGGAAACACCGACCTCTGGATGAACCTTTGCCTTCGGCGTCCCTCGTCTGCCATCAGCAGCGGAGCGCAGAGCCCTGAAAGAGGAAGGCGGCACAGGGGAGGAACCGCGCCATGCGAGCGCTCCGGCCCCCGGTGCAGCCCCCCGCGCGCCTGGCCCCACCGCCGCCGCCTCGCCCGGGGAACCCCGACCCTCTCCTCCCTGCATCCCGAATTGCTGGGCATGGGTCCGCACAGCAGGCACGGCCGATGAAATCAGCTGAAAAGTCCCCGATTTTGATCAGGGACTTCTGCGGAGAACCCCTGGGCATTTGCATCCCGAGGCTGTGAACTCCCTTTGCAGGAGAGCCTGGCAGAGCGAGACGGGTGCGGACCGAGAGCCGTCCAAGGTGCCCTGCAAACACCGAGAGGCTTTTCATGGACCGAGAGCCGAAGGCAGAGCGAACCGCGCAGCACCAACTAGGGAAGAGATTCGCTCTGGCAACTCACAGGGCATCCCACGCTTCTTGCTACTCCTGGCCTCCAAGCTGGCTCCCAGGTCTCCAGAATGGTCTGTTAGAGAGAGATGCCCCTGTTCCCCCAAAGGCTTTCACGTGAGAGCTCTCCAAAGGATGGGAGGAACGAGCAGCAGGACAGAGGCTTGCTAAAAAAAAGGGATAAAGCCACTTGCCCACTGTCACAGCCGTACCGCAGGGTGACAGACGCTCGGTCCCATCCTGGGCGTTAAGGAGGCAGAAGGGCATCTGGTTATCCAAGTACATCGAATCTGTCCTCCTCTCCCAATAAGTAGCGACAGCAATGCCGTTTTCTGCGCATTCCCCTGACTGCAGAGAGCAGCGGGGAGTCGGAAGGCAAATGCTGAGCAGCGCTGAGCCCAATGACGGGACCGCTGCCACGGCCACAGCAGCTGCGTATCAAATACTCCCCGAAGGACGGGGAGATGCTTTACCTTTCAGCTGTGTCTCATCGCACAAGCGCAGCCAAAATACTTTCCACAAACTCCTGGTTTGGCTGGGGAAGGAAGTCCCACCCAGAACACCAAGATCAGGAAAAAAAGCTTTATTTGCAAAGAAAATATTGACAATTTACATAAACTTACATCCTAATTTATATACATTATGTATATTTTATATACAGATAGTGTCTTGAATAAAGATGTCGAAGCACGAAACAGCATCAGTATATCACCGTGCAGCTCTTACAGGGAACGGGGAGAGTCGTGTCTCTCTCCCCACAACTCCTCTCCCGTTCTGTGTTTGTCAGGGAGTCCGAGAGGCTTTCTCCCAGCCTGGGAGGGATGAACATGGGTAGGGGTGGGTGGGTGGGAGTCAGGCTCGTAAGTGGGTGCAGTTTTCCCTTCCCCTTTCCCCCAAAAGCCTGCGCCAGGGCAGGTGCCACCAGCCTGCAAGCGAGCGGGAAGGACTCCCCGCGCTCCACCTCCTACCAAGAAGAGGGGAAGAACCATGGACGAGCCAACGCTTTGCTCATCTCCCTCCCAACGCAGCTCGGGTGCCCTTTTCTAAGCACCTGGCAGTGCTCCTTCAGTGGAAGGACGATGCCAAGTCCCCTGATGGGGACAGTGGGTGGCAGGGAGACCACAACCGCTTACCTGGGTGAGAAAGGTGCTGGAGGGAAGCAAGGGCCAGGTAGTTTTGGGTAGGGAGCCATGACCTTTAGGTCTTCCTTCAAAAGGGGCCCTGAACACAACAGCTGAGCTGGCTGCCCCAGAAGTTGTCTCTGTAGAGAGGAGCTTGGGAGGGAGAAGGGTTTTAGCTGATGCATTATATACCAATTAGCTGTTTGGTACATTTCTGCAGCTGGAGTCCAGCCGAAAGTTGGGCAGTGGAGCCAAGGCACGTGGGCAAGAGCAGAGCCAGCAAGTACCACCGGAGAGAAAGGCTGGCTCATGGGAAACCAGTGGTGACTGGTTTTGCATCCACCATCTCGGATACACAGACGTTTGTCTGTAAGTGAAGCACTTCCTTCCCAACCACACTAGGAACCGAGATACGTCAAAATTCAAAGACATCGGAGGGAAAGACTGGAGTAAGGCCCTGTTCCTGCTGGAGTTTGTTAAAACCTCCCATACGCATCCTCCCTGCACTCCTCTGAGCTGCTTCCAGGCCTTTTCAGCTCCAGTTAAGGGGAAGAGGCACCAAAGATGGTGGGACACCATCTAGAGAAGCATCACCAAGAAGCAGCTATACTACAGCCTAGGTAACCTGCGCTGTAATACTTCATTAACGAGAACTTGTTGCTAGAGAGGCCAAAGGGTTTCAAGTATAAAGACTCTGCATGGCTGCTACAGGACTGGTGATCCGCCCGCTCATCCCAGGGATGACCACGGCTCTCCGTACCAAGGCCACCGGCACTCAGGTGTTCCTTGCTCTCCAACTCACTCCAACTCAGCCACACCGAGCTCACGCTTTGGTGTAACCTGAGCATCAGAAAAAGCCCGTGAACAACCTTCCCTGGCCTGGGACGAGGGAGGCAGGAACCGCTCCCTTCTGCTCTCCTCCCACATCCCGGGCAGAGGCCAGAGAGGGAACTCGACAGCGATGCGTGGGGCTTTTACAGAGAGAAGGGATTCTCCCTCTGCCTCCTCCTGCCCGCAGCCATAGTCAGGAGCAAATCATGGATCCTGCCAGTGGGGGACAAGGAATGCAAACTCCATCCATCACGCTCTCCCAAGGCATTGCCTTATTTGTGCTTGCCCCTAAGTCTTGCTGCTCAGGCTGTATTCTAAAGCAATTCTGTTAATGATTTGCTTAATGTTCTCACTATACACAGTTGTCCTGATTCATTCTTGTCAGAGGAACATGTCCTTCTTAATCCATTCTAAAGGAAATAAACCACAAAGACTAGTTAAGTGCCCCTAAGGCTCTTGCTAGTCCAACTTGTTAAGGCTAGAAAGGAGGAGAACATATTGAAAAAGAAATAGCAGGCAATTTTTCATGCTGTTATTCCGCAAACTGCACGCCTCCTGTGAATAGCAAGGCTGTAGCCAAAGCTGGGTGCCCCCAAGAAATATTTATCTCCCAATAACTGCAATACTTGGCAAGTGAGATCACTCGCTACGGATGGGGAAAAGTGACGGAGCCAAGAATGCTTCAGCCAGGGTGGACCCTTCTGCGGTCAGATCAGTCGCTCCGGCACAGCGCTGAGACATGTCCGCTCCCACGTCCCTGCAGGTGACCACGGCTGAGCCACCTCTGCTTGGAGATGGAGGTCATCACCAAGACGTCGGTTCCGGACTTGTCCCATTTGCTACATAGGCTGAAACTTCACTACCCTCACCTCTTTAGTTTTTAAAGAAAAAACATGCTCTCAAAAGAAATCCAGTTAAAAAAAAACCCCAACACAACCAAGCACAAGCCAAGGCATGACACAAAAGAGCAATCAGTGCTTCAGCCTCTTCCTCAGCTCGAGCACATCTTATAGCTTTAGGTCTCCCCAGTTGAGGGGAGGTAATGGGAGAGAGTTGCTCAAGAAGCCAAAAGAAACAATAGTGTCCCAGCTCTTCTATTAGTCACCAGAAATCGAGTTATGACTAGACTCAGCAGGGCTCAGAGAAAAGAAAAAGTGGTGACTTCATGCTGGACCAGACTTTTTAAATACAATTTTTTTTTGCTAGAGACTCCATCACCACTTATTAGAGCATTTTAGGTAGAAGGGTGCCAAAAGGAAAGGGGTGGGGGAAGGAAGGACAAAAACCACATCTAAAAGCAGGACAGTTGCTATTAAAACAGAAAAAAAAATTTCCTGTTTGAATATTTTATTCTTAAACATGACAAACTTCTTCAGAGTGTTTTCACAAGTACTTGTGTCTGCTCTACGCGGCTCGGTGAAGCCTGTAGAAATGTGTTCTGGTTCGCAAAATATTAATTAAAAAGACCAAAAAAACCCCAAAACCCAACCCCAACAAAACACCAATTGCTGTAACAGCAGCAGTACTTTAAGGCAGCCCCATTAGGGCAAGGTATACCTCTGGGGTAATGGCAGGAGCTGAAAGTAGCAGAGGCGCTGGAACCGGGAATCAGCATTTTCTTTGGGACTTTGTGATTTCTGGAATGTGGAGGCAGTTTCCTATCTGCTAAGCCTGCTCTATAAAGTATTCATCTTCCTCTCGCACTTACTGCTTTTGCAGCCTGCTTCCAAGCTCTAGGTAGAGGCACTTCGCCTTCTTTGCTCGCACTCCTGAGGATGAATGTAAACACCACTGACCCTGTCTTATTCACCTCCCTTCGCACCCCGTGGCCGTTCCAGTTCGAACTGGGAAGGCAGAAAACCAGAAACCCCCTTTCTTGCTTTCGTTAGCGTGCAGAAGCAGGAGTGCCTGGATAGGACAATTTGGACATTAGTCTGTCTTCTCCCGCTACCGCCTGGGATGCTCTTGCTAGTGCAACATAAAAGCAGAGACCCACACCACTCTCAACAAGCCTCGTGTGAAGATCACAGAGCAGAGTATCAGTGCAGTAATACTTGAAATACTGAGACAAGGCAGACACAACAGCCTTTCTTCCTCACAACGCTTTTTCAACTAGCTTTTTGATCCAAGTCTCCACGCAAGTCACAGAAGACAATTGTGCTTCCTGCATTCACATATAGGAATAAATAGCTCTGGATCAGTTTTCTTTATGGCCGGATTACAGAACCCCCTGAAATACTGATACGCTTATGAACAGCAGCACTGTGCAGTTCTGTGAGTATCCTTGGACATGCCAAGTTCATCTAGGATGCTGGTGCATCTCCTAGGCGTATGGCCCCAAAGAAAGTTGTGTGCTTGCTCATGTTGATGGAGATGTCAGCATGGACCATTTTCACAGCGATCTTCTGCCTGGCTTTGAGGAGGCAGACCCCAGCTGTATAGCAGGTATTGAAGTTGGTCTTGCCGGTCTCAATACTCCGAGTGCATTGCAGAAAGGGCTTTTCATCCACCACCACCTCATAGCTGGCAAAATCTGTGAAGTTTATGTAGTATACCTGATGTGAAGCAGGAAGAAGAAAGGTATTAGGGAGTGTATTTGTGCACATAGAACAAGTCCACATTCCTTTCAGTGTGTACATATATGTTCCCTCTGCTAATGTTACCTTCCTTGGCGCCAGGACACTCATGGGAGGTTGACTTGTTCGAGGCAGAAGGCACCCAAAGCCAACCAAGCATGAGGAAACTCTGCATTCCACTTCATACTGACACAAGCATGCAAGCATCCGTGAATCCACGTATCTAAGGCTGAGAGCTGTGAACCCTCGCTTTAGACCCTGCTTATGACAGGAAAACTTACAAACCTGCACAGGCCTAGTTACAAAATTGTGTAGACAACCCTATCTGCTACAAACAGCTCTTCATCCAACAAACAAACAGAAATATTTTAACTGAAGTCCTCTTTCACTTACCTGGCCAGTCCGCTTTCTGGGTCCCATGAGCCTCCTTTAGTGTTGACATCAAAAATGCCCTAAGATGTACTGGGAGTTGCCTTCTTTGTAATTGGACTTGAGGTGCTTTCAAAGGCGTAAGCTATTACAGGGAAGACACTCTCCCAACCTCCACAGCTTGGAAGCAAATGACCTCATGGTGTTTCTGCTGATTTAACTCTTAGACCTAGCGCCTAAGCCCCCATGACTCCATTACTCGTTACTTAACCACCTCCCACACACGGATTCTGAAGAACTGTGAGATGCACGAGAAAGACCTGTCCAAAGAGAAGTCAGTCCCAGGGAGCTGCTTCTTCCTGACAGAAGAAAACCAGCCATTTTGGATGCATCTGCTAATTCTTCTTAGTCTACACCCTGCGACCACAGAAACTACACAAGATTGAGTCCCCTTTTTCCTTGATGGGCTGCAAACGACTAAGGCTTCGGAGGCACAACATTGTGGCCAGCAATTAGCATTAAGCACTTGGGAAACAATTATACTTTGGCCCACGAAGAGTTATTTTTTCCTGTCCCCATCCAAACCAGACACGTTACCAGTTCCACAGAAGAGCACCTAACCTGTCATCCACAGCCCACTTTATCCGACTTGGTACAGTCCCAGTGGCGCTGCCAACAGAATAAAGGGAAATCCTGAGCAGGAGGTAATATTAGAAGCCTGGAGCAAAGTGGAAGTCACTTCATTGTGGTTGTCACACAGAAACCCTCTTGTCTTGCTAAAATCTGTCCCAGAACCTGGACAGTTTTTCAGTCCGCAGGCGGGCGGACACCCTGCGTGCTCTGGAAGAGCTTCGTAGCTCATACGCTACAGAGCTCAGCAGTTCTGCTCAGATTTGCAAGACACCGGGAGCAGTGCATTAAATGACAGTCCATCTCCTGCATTTCATTTGAATGGGGAGAGGAAACGATGTCTTGTTTAGCTGTATACCCAATCTAATACAATAAATTATTACTTTGTTTAGCCCTTTTTACAGAAGCAGGTCCGTATATCCATCGTCGGTACCAACTAAAGCAGCAGCTGAGCCATCCCGCTGCACAATGCTGTTGCTGGTGCATCGTGTCGGGTCTGAAGCTACACGAAGAAGGTGGAGGCAAAACGGGAGTTACCTGGGCTGGAGTTTGGCCAAGCCACCCGGGCCGAGTCCTACGCTTACAAAGAGTGACATGGCTTGGCAATGATCACAAGTTGCCAGGGTTTTGGTCTTACATCTCTATTAAAGCACAGAGCCTAGCATCCCACTGGGACCCTTGTTCTGCAAGGAGGCTTAGATGGGCTGGTGAATGACTACACAGACAATACGGAGGATTTAAAAAAAAGGCATTGGTGGCATGTGGGATCTGGCTGGGCATCTGCGCATGTGTTTCGGTAACTAATCTCTCGCAGCTGGTGTTACGGCGAAACGTGTGACCTTGCACTTCGAAACTCTAAGGTCTTCCTCCAACACACATCTCCTAGAGCACGAAGTGGTTAAAAGTACATACAAGTTCTTGGCATTTGGTAGTTGTCTGGAGCCCTCTCGTGGTTCATGCAAGGCTTCCATTGGAACACAAGAATAGGAGTTAGGCCTAGGACCGTACTCACTTCTACCTGACTATAGATGAAGTATGTGCCGTCCACCAGTACCTCCAGCTCCCCACTGCGGGCATGCAGCTTAAACACCTTGGGGTTCATAGTGATGCGAGACCAGTCATTGAGGACTCCACCTGAAAGATCTCAGTATGAGAAAACGGCAGTCACTCAGTACCCGTCAGAATGAAAAGCGCAGGAGCACAGAAATACAGTGACATTGCAAGGTTTCATACACAACGGCTGGCACAGACTCAAGTTGAAAAGTCAAGTAACTTGGTAAGAAAATCCCAGAATTAAAGACTATGGTGTGTTAGTTTGGACTCCTCTCTATAGCTCTAATTACACCATCACTTGCTGGTGGACACCCGTTTTGTTCAGTGCACAGCACAACTGATTTACGTCTCTACTTGTCCTCGTCAAGAGTAGTTCTCCTCATCCTTGAAAACTGACATACGACCTTCTGTACTATGCTACGTTCACCCCCAGCGCTCGATACAGACTACCTTGCCTCCTCCTGACACTAAGTTGAGCTTATTACCATATTTGAGTGTTTTACAGGCCTGAAAACGTGTTCCAGTATCAACCTAACTCCAGAGCCAAGACACTCCGGCAAATGCAAATCAATGCCGGTACTGTAAGGTATTTGCTAAGTTTTCTTCATTCACCTGAGAAGCCAGGGGCTGATTTTTCACACTATTTTGGTATGTTCAGCCACAGATCCCAAGTGTGACTGTAACAGCACTTTTTCAGGCGCCTGCTGAAGAGCATCTGTTCATGGCCCTTGTAAAAGCTTTGTTACTGGCAACCTCCCTGGCATCATGGAAGAAACTCTGCAGCAGAGGTAGGACTGTGATCCAATTCTCCAGGAAGTATCCTCAACTGACATCACCCAGCCTTGAGACCACTAAATCTCTTCCTCTACTTTCCATCTCATTTATTCACCTCCCCACACCTCTCTACCCAGCTTCCACGCTAAACAAAGTGGAGCTTCAACAGACGGTGTGCCCATGTCAACAGGTAAGTCCTTGAGGACCACAGCCAGGCTAGGATGACAACGGTGATTCCTGTCCTTGGGGGAATGGGACTACGCGTGGCCAGTCTGTCTGCCCTCCCCTCCGTGCTGCTGGGCTGGAAGATGTTCTCAGCAGGGGCATCATGATACAGCCTTCACCCTCACTTTAAGCCTTGGGACCATCCCTAGAAGAAAACTAGTCCTTGCAGCAAAAGAGACAACAATATGATAGAAAAAATCACGTGCAACTATCGGACTACAGCGTCTCTCAGGACACGTGTGTGCGTGGAGGCCAACTTAGGGTTACACAATCGATTTTAATTCTGGTATTCCTTGACTTCAACATTCTTGACTTTGTAACTAGCATTATTTTAACAAATGCTTCATCATTACATTTCCTAGGTTTTTAAAAGCCATAACAACAACAAAGTACAAAATTGTATCACGTCACACCACCTTAACTCCTGACTGGGCTCCTCAACATGGTCAGGGCTTTATAGATCCCGAACCCAGTGCTCTGGCATTGGAGCCAATGGAATAACGGACAACATGAGTAGACCTCTGTTCTCCGGACAGGCCAACAAGCAGGTCCAGAGGACACGCTTCACCGTGAGCCCAGAACAGAGCCATTCTCTGTAGATGCCTTGTTTTATCCAACACAACTCTTCTCCTCCCAGTCTTCATCTGCTTTTGAGCTCCCTGCCCCCAGTTGCAAGCCAGCCAGGCTGTGTTTTCTGCTGGCTGTCAGCTGGACAGCATTAATGGCTCACAGCATCAGATTGTTCCCGAGCAGCAGGGAAGTACACTTACAGGGCAATTCCCACTCTTGGAGAGTAGCGTACGCTCTGTAAACATACAGGCTTCCCATTAATAAAGGGATAATTACTTTTTGAACGTAAGCAAAACAGCATCTTTTCCCTCCTATTGTTCTTAGGAGCGGCCAGTTTCCTTTTTGTTTTGGGGAGCTTGCCCCCACCCCGCTGTAGGCATACTTCCCTACCCATGAGAAATTTCAGCTCCCACAGCTCACATCTGCTGAAAGAGCGAAATTGCCTTTCAACAGAAGCGGTGGCCAGCCCTCATCATCCCGTGCATGGGGCAGAAGTTGGCGGACAGGGGTCCTGCAGCACCAACCCTTATGAGCTGCAGCCCTCCAGGTCTGGGATGGGGGTACGTGCCCCGGGACTGCTGCCCGCGCTCCCCGGGGACCCGCACGTGGTGACTTCGGCAGAGGACAACACAGCCAGCTCCTCTCCGGCACAGCCAGACATCGTGAGCAGGGAGGCAAGCAGCTAATGAATGAGACCCAGCTGTTGGCAAAAAGAGCAGGAACTCGAGCAGAAATTGGATAGGGATCCGGGGAGGAAGGAGGAGAGCAAAGAGCTGCTTGTGGACGTGAAATGGCTCGGCAGGACTCGAGCTTAAAGGCTTAAAGGCTGTTGGTGGGGGTCGAGATGCACAAGGGGCTGCGGAGGCTGCGTGTGTACATGCTCGCAGCGTAACGCAGGAGGAGCCGGTGGCTGTGCACCTCTGTGTCCTCACACTGCAGCTGTGCCTTCCCCTGCCATAAATTACTGGGAAAACTGGAGAAAAACACAGGCTCATGGGGCTGAGACAGGAAAAGGATACACTGAGGGCTTAAAATAGAAAAGAGTGGGAAAGAAGGCTGGCCATTGAGGGGCTGAGGAAAACTGATGATACAACAGCAGGTTGGAGGAGGCACAGTACATATCTGGAGGTCAAGGAGAAGGGAGATTCAGTGGGACAGAATTACTGGGATGTACAGAATAGAGATAATCTGGGAGGTAAATAGGAGCACAGGGGAGAAGGGGATGGAGACTCAACAGAAAACTCCTCTAAGGGGGTCTGGGCAGGGGAATCAGAGTATCTCAGGGGGAGGCTGACAGCAGGGACCCGTGTTATAGGATGGACTTAGACCCAGATACGAGGCTACGGGTGCAGGATGGGCTCTTTTCAGTAACTGCCAATATCATGAGATCCTTACCATTCTTCACTTGGATTGCTGAGCCTTGGCCTTGAAGGTGGACCACAGCTGGCTGCAAATGAGATCACAGGGATTCCAAATTAATGGGAAAGACTGCATCATTTTACAGTCACTCGACACACCTCCCAGCCCTGGTGACCAGTACAGAGGCATGATAGTACCCTGAAATCATTAATGCTTTTCATAAATGAAAAAAGAAGGTCAGAGCAGCTGACAACAACATGTTTAAGTAGTGGAGAAGAGGTGAGAAGCCCAAGCCAGATTAACATGGCTTTCTTATGAGCGATTAAAAAGGTGAGCTCAGGCAGTCACTCTGTGTAGCTATGATTTAGCACACACAAGAAGGGGTGGGGTTTTTTCAGAGCTATACCATCAAACACAACATTAGCAAACATAGCTGGTAACATTTACAAAAATCCAGGCAAAGCTGGGTTTTTCCCTTGAAAGAAAATCAACCAACCTGGATGTCTCTGGAGCCGGCCTTGTCTGTGGCACCTGCAAAATGCAATTTCACATAATTGAAGAGGAAGCTTGAAAGAGCTGCAGTAAACACTCCTATAAATAAAACTTCTCTTACTCCATAATAACCATTAAACCCCCATTTTTAACAGGAGGAGGAGAGTAGCAGCGGTATAGCGTGCAGCTTAATGTTAAATAGTACATAAACAAGAGAAAGATTCATCCCACTTTTTCCTATTTTACTCCTACATTTCTGTCTAACATCATCAAAATTCCCCAACGTTATTCAACCAGTTTCCACTAGAAGGACAAATTGCACAACCCTTTTCCTGATCGGTAGTGGCAATAAAGCCTCTTGGCTGCAAAGATTACAAGTTTCACTCTGCAGTAACTCAGGTCATTCATTGCATTCAAGCTACATGCTGAAATCCCTTTTCTCCGAGAGCCAAATCTCTATTAAAGAGGAGATGCTTGTGGGCAGCGCTCCGGAGTGCTAAGGACCTCATGCTGCTCCTGGCCTCTGCTTTGGCAATTTCTGAGATATAAACTGAGAATTCAACCACGTTTTCCTTTGAGAGCCATGAGAGCTATGGGGTAATAGTCCCGATTTCTCTGAAGATATATTTTTTAATACTAGACTTTTTATATATATATGTATATATATATATATAAAAATGTAAAAACCAAACAACACTGATGTGAACTTCCACTAATCGGCATTTTAAAGAGTTATTAAATTCAGGGATTTTAACAAAATAATTGGCACATGACTCCGTGGAGAAACAATATGGTGCAGATACAAGGAAACAAAGAAAAATGAAGCCGGGAACTGCAGGAGAAAAAGATATTTTCATCTGGCTGGTACGGGAGGCAAGCCGCCTCGGTTCACGCGGTTCGTGGGCCGGCTCAGCAGCTGTGCTAAGCGTCAGCCTTCCCGGTCCTGATGCAAAGCTAGGCTTTGCGTCAGCCTAAGAGGACTTAGCAGAAACACCAAGTCAAGGCCAGGAAAAGCCACCCTGCAGCCAGCTTGCGCACACAGAAATCGGTCACCGGCAGACTTCAGCGGGACACTTAAGAGTGACCGAAGCTCCGCAGGTCTTTGCTGCTCCTTCCCTGCATCCTCCTCCGACGGGCACCCACGTCGCCCGCGACATCGCGCCCACAACCATGGTGGCGGCCGGGCTCCCACCATGTGAGTCGAACTTCTGCCGCCCCTCTGGTCCCCGCCGTGGGTGCAAGGACAAGCCCAGGAGCACCTGAGTCCTACCTGAGGATGCTGCACCGTGGCGTTCAGTCGCTACACCATCCTCAGATGGAATAAATCTGTATTTGTACAGCAGCGCTGCCGCCGTGGCATCTCCCGCATCCCACCCCCCCCGGCACGCAAAGGCTCCGAGCGGGGAAGGGGACAAACCAGTTACCTGAGGGACCCTGCAGTCCCGGTGGTCCCTGAGGACCCGGCGGGCCAGGGGGGCCGGGCGGTCCCATGACGGTTGTGCCGGGAATCCCCGGGATGCCGGGAATGCCAGGAGGACCCTGGGGCCCGGGAGGACCCGGTGGCCCTTGGGGACCGTTGGGTCCTGGAGGACCAGCCTTCTTACCTGAAAAATAGAAGGTTAAACGTTAGCTCCTCCGCACGCCGAGCGTGGGATGGTCTTTTACCTGCAGGAAAGCGCTGGGAACGAGGAAAGCAGAAGATTGGGGATGGATCGTTGCTGGCTGGAGGGCAGGGACAAGGAGGAGCACCCAACCGACCGGGATGGGATGGGGGTCCCACGACCCCACACCACCAGGACAATGCTGCCGGCAGAGCAGAAGCAGGTTGCCGCCTTGCAGGCTCCATCCAGCATATGTAACTACATTTAAATGAGGCACGCGGGCTCTCGGAGGCCTCCCAAGGAAGGGAGGCTCCGATGGTCTCTGCCCCAGAGCTCTGGCCGCAACCCTGACCCGGCCGCCCCGATTTCGGCACGGGGCCGGGAGGTCCCGCAGCCCTCAAAGGCAGCGTGCCCGAGAGCCGGCCGCATCCCTGGGGCAAGGTTAGGAGTGCTCCCTTCGAGCAACCGCAGGCTGCAATGCAACAGAGGGAAAGCTGGGGTATTAAAAGCCGAGATGAAGCGCTCTGCAGTTTCTTGGTTTTCTGGTTTTTGATGGAAAACAGGTGCAATCTTTTCTACCTGCTGTATACGTATGCGTTAGCGTGTAATCCCCACGGCTTGATCTCCTGTTGGAAGGAGAGAGGTGCCTCCAGAGGGCAGTTCAGAGCTGAGCTTCAGCTCTTCTCCACCAGCTGCTGAGCACCCGGGGCGATGCGGGAGGGATCCCCGCTGCTGCTCGGTGGGGACCAAGTGGCACATCTCTATGGTGCGATGAGGATGCGCTTAATGTGCACGGAAGGACTAAGATGCTACAAGGCCTCGAAAGAATTAAATGTGCATTTTTGGGGCTTTGGGTGGAGGGTTAAGGGAAGGACTAACCCAAACAGGAGGATGAAAGCGCTGAAGAATTGCCACGATCCTCAAACACATCTCATCACGCCATCCCAGGAAGAGAAACAGCACAGCCGTGTAAGCAAAGACTCTTATCAGGCATACGCACAGTGGAGTGAAATCAGTCTGCAGGGAAACCCTGACCTGTGCTCTTCTGATTTTCCAGATCCCTGATAGCAATTCTGTTCTTTTGATGTAGTTTTTAACAACTTTGCAACGGCTCTTATGCCAAAGATCTTTATTAACTTAGCAAAATTGCTTCAATTGCTGAAACAAAGTCTGCTGTAGGACAGAATTAAAACACTTTTTTAGATGACAGCAGCAGTTAGGATATGAAATAATGGTTATTGGAACGGTTTTGGAGCACGTTTATGTACTTGTTTCTCTACTAATACCCATCTTTGTCATGGAACAGAACTATAAGCAAAACCCCATCTATTTTAGTTAGCCGAGAAGTGGAAATCTCTAGATGGTCGCTAGCCACGAACAAGGGCACATGGAAATTGGCATAGGACAACTGTGCAGTTTAGTTTCAATGTGCAGAAAACTAAGTTAAAGTAAGCACGGGTGATTAAAGTGATATTGGTATCCTACAAAAATGGTTCGCAGCAGTATTTCTGCCCAGATTAGTAGCTGTGTCTTCAAATCTGAGCTGGCAACAAGCCAGCCTTCGTCTAATCCAGCAATTCTCCTCCTCCTCAGGATAATGACATGCTTTGGAAATTATCATCTTGCATCAAACCCTTTACCCACTTCCCCTAAAGCACACTTACTAAATTCTTCTCATTCACATGCCCTCCGATCTAGGCCATCCGAATGAAGGATCATATGTAGTAAGTCAGGAATCCTGCTGCTGTCACTCCTTGCTTTCCTTCCCAAGAGGGATACATATTACAGCTGGTTTAACTAATCTGTCTCAGAAATCTGGTCTGCTACTAAATGAGCTGCTAGTTTAGCAGTGAAACAATTGCACATAATTCTGATGCCGCACAGGGACACTTATTTTCTGTGCATTCCCGCTCCTTCAAGTAATTTCAACTACTTTTCTGCATTAATGGATCCTCGCTTATTAGAGTCACGAGGCCAAAAATAGATATTCAGTAAGTATAAAGCTCTTGATTCATCTTCTAACTGAGGGGACCCCAGTCCCACCACAAGCAGCTCTCCAGGGAGGGTCTCCGGCACCCAGGTCCCAGCGTGCCAAGTCTCTGTCTTTACTCGCACACACTAGGCAGGCTCCAAAACTCAAAGCAGGCAGAACCAGTAAGTTTTCCTTAATCATCATTCACCAAACAATAAGCTCTAACTCTAAAAAAAATTAAATGTGACAATACCATAAAATTAAACTATTTTATACAGTGCTACAGCTGTATATAATACAGCTCTATGAGATCCCCCTGCTACTCCGAAATTGCTATGAATACCACAGTCATCACTTGTTATTAGTTCGGCTGATTTAACACAGGTTTAGGGTTTCAGAGTTTTGTTAGGACAAACTTCTCAAACATAAAATTTTATGCTGCTTTTGAGGGTAAATATAAATTGAGTTTCTAACTATGGTCTGTCTCAACCTCTCAGCCATAACTGTTGAGTTTGTATCCAAGGATTAAAAGCGATTTGATGCGCTATTAAAGTAGCACAGACACACAACGCTTGGCCGCTCTTGCCGCCGCAGGTCGCGACGGCGAGCTGGAGCACGTACATATGCGGGAAGGTCTCTCGAGGGACACAGCAAAGTGCCAAACAGCTAACTTTTCCATTAATTAAATCTACGTTAGGCGCAATAGGTAGCAGAGAGTTGACATTGCACCTGTCGGTGCTTTACTGCCCAGGCTTGGCCATGAGCACGTTTTCATCGATTTCATCGAGCTCCCCGGGCTACGGAGGCAGAACCACTCCGAGCTGCACATGCTTTCTGTGTTTCCCGTAACCTACGAGTAGGTGCCCCAGTTTTTAAAACAGGCACAGAAGCGTTTTGATGGTTACAAGGAGCAAAAATTGGTAATCTGACTGTTTCCCTGAAATCAAGACGGCAGCATGTTTTTGAGGGAAAGTTTATAAAGCAACTCAGATACTTTGATTTGCTCAAGTTCCTGGTAGCAAGTGCATGACCGTAAGCATTCCCCAGGAGTCCTACACAAACAAGGACAGCATCAGACACCCCATGGAAACACAGGGCTGCCTCCCGAATAACCCAAGTCACATACGCATTTTAAAAAATACCCAATTACCCATTGCAAACCGCTTGGGGAACGTAAGAGTGTCAGACGAAATACCCGGGGGCTGACCAACACTCAGAACAGACAAGTGAAATAATACTTCTGAGGTTAATACACAACCAGAAGTGAGATGCAGAGTGTATCTACCTTGACTTTGGTGGGTCTGAAGGAGACCCCAACCTGCAGCAAAATGCAGGACAGGGATAGAAAGCTAAAGCTGTTTTGGCAGAGATGACCTAGCAAACAGCAAGTGGCTCTCGATAGCTGGTACCTGACTCAACTACTTAATTATAGCATCTTCAGAATTACTTCTATACAACACAATTAACTTCCTTTAGCTTTCAAGGAAGGCTTTAATGAGCGCCGATGCTCCCCTGCCGCAGTCGTGCCATGGCAATGCGGGCGCACGAGAGCAGCTCACGGTCTGGGTTGTGGGACCACGTTAATCCTGCCCTCCCCGGGGAGGGAACCTGTCACTCCATGTTGGCTAAAGAGAATTCTTAGCCACGCAACAGAGGCAGAGAAAGGAAAATTAAATTAAAACCCAAACTTACCCTTTTTCTTGTTTTTGACTGAACTTGGACCTACAAAGAAAAAAAGAAAACTAGTGAAATTCAGTGATCATTTCATCTTAGAAAATCCCCACTGCCACCAACACCCACCGACCCAGAGGGTGCCTCTCCGCAGCTGGAACAAAACTGGCAACAAGACCAGTAAGCTAAAGATGTACGTAGAGTTTTCTGTTTTCTACAAACAACAGCTGTGAAGGTATAACGATTTTACTGAGACCCAGATCTGCTTTACCCTCTCCGAGACCCGCAACCTGTGGCTGGTGTAATGCAAGTGAGCGAGTTTTGGTGGGCATCTCTCTCCCTTACTGCAAAGATGAGTTAAACCATCTGCTCGTGGCCAACGGCAAAGCTCAGGTGACGGATGCTCTCCAACCTTGAGCCAGAGCTTTACTCTCAGATACCAGCTCAGTTCCAGCTCTGCTGAACACTGCCCAGAGTTTTGCCCAGAGATTTGCCGTATGTATCCCCTGAAGTCACTGACAGAAGTACAGCGCGTCAAACCTTCAGACAGCAGAAATCCTGAGACTCAACAGAACCCATTTAAAAATACGATCCCTAAGCAGCAGATTATTTTTCAAGTGGACAACGGATGCATCTGTGGTCTGTGCGGCCATACATGAATTTTCTCTGTTAGCTTGAAATCGCCGCGCTTAACATTTAAAGCTGACACACTTTACTTCCCGACAAGGACAGGTTAGAAGAAAGTTAGCATGACTCAGCTCTCAGCAGTAACCCAAATACTTGCGAGCCAACTTGTTTAAAAATAATAATAAAATACCAAAAAAACCCAATAGCAAAGAATTAGTATGAACTGGCTTATTTAAACAATGGGAATACAAGCCTCCCTAGCAAGAACTGAAAATATTTATAGTGAAGCTGAGAAACTACATGACTTTTTGAGCAGAAGCTGAAGTGTGAAACATGTTCCACTGCTTCCTCAAAAATTAATCACGGATGGGAATGAACTGCAAAAATCCCCAAATACTCCCTCGCTGTTCATCAGTGAAATCCCTCTAAAATCCGGGTTTAAACACGCATCAAAGACTGAAATCACCTTTAACTGAGATAGGCTTATAATGAATGGAAGGTAAGGAGGTAGCTTTGAGTCTGCAGTGGTGGAGAAAGACAAATTACCAATTAGTACAGAAGTGCCATGTTCCCATGGCTAGTTAGAGTAAAGATGAGAGAAGGACCAGAGAAATACCCAGCAACCTTACTGATGCCTTTTCAACAGGAATATGAATTTAATTATTTGGGTCATGGGAAAATTATGGTATTATCTAATTTAGTATTGCTGCTAATTTACTATTTTTTTATTAATCCATACATTCACAGTATTAAAACATGTAGATAGCACAAGCCATAGGTTTCTAACAATCCCAGTCCCAGTCTCTTGTTTGGTAAATACCGACAGGCTCCTCTTTTTGCATTTTCTGAGCTCCCGTGATGCAGAATGAGCCACCATCATGCTGGAGATCTCCACCAGCCCTCATCTTAGAGACCAGCTAGTTAATAACATTTTCAGTGAAGAGAAAAAACTTGTCTGGGGGACATAATTTAAAAAAAAAAACCAAACCCCAAAACCCAACACAGCAAGCGAAATGCAAGTGCTGTGTATGTGTCTCTTCAGACCTCGGAGTCACGAGAGTTTATTTCATGTTATATATATCACACCATTAGCGCTATAACCAGAGTGAAAGTACAAATAGCTGTGGCGAGCCAAACACATTTGAAATGGATGGAACCAATTAGCTTCAAAGATGAATGGGAGGAATGAGAACCACATGCGATGTCAATGTTCACAGTCTATATTACAACACACGCATCTGTTCCAGGCACGGCAGAGAGAGATGTTACGGCTGTGCAAGTGAATCTTTCGACAAACACAAAAATACTTCTGACATGAAAAAAACACAGTATTATTAGCCTTGGGAGCTTCTGAGACTCTGGGGTTTGCATCTGTTCATCTCCCAACAGGAGGGGGTGGATAATTTAATTGTAGCAGGGAGCCATAAGGTTCATCCGATATACCAGAAGACAGAATTTTCCTCATTTTTGCTCAAAATGGTAAACTCATCGGCTCTTTCTCGATTTAGTCTAAAACGGTAACAAAGTCTCTTCCTGAGTTTGAGAAGCAGAGTGCCACCAAAATACCAGCTCTATCTTCCCCTCAGTACGAAAGGTGCTGAGGCGCGAGGCTTGAAAACTTTACTTGATATACGTTGTCCCAACATTTATGTGCAGAGGAGAAAAAAAAAAAAAAAAAAATCCTTTCTGCCATGCTTTTCTGAGGCCACACCCCAATATTTAAGCAATAAAGCCTGTTAAATGCTGCAGGGGTTGAACACATACGACACACTGGTTATCTGTTCATTGATGGAGCAGGTTAAATACCTACAAGTTAGGCAAGCGTAAGTCTTTCCTAAAGTCTCCTCCTCCACCGTTAATGCCACCTCACCATCCCACTCCTCCTGCAGAGAGGATCCCTGTCTCAAAGCCTTTTTACACTACCCACGTTTATTCAGCGTAGTTTCATGGAGGCCATTAGATGACTTGATTCCAAGGAAGGTCTATGAAAAGACACTTTTTTTTTTGCTCCAAGATGCAGATTATAGGCATGTGCAGTACTTTCCTCTACAGTATCAAAAGCCTTATAAAAAAAACAAGTTACAGGATACCTACTGCTGCTTCGGAGTCCGCAAGACCTGCCATCTCCTTGTAGAAGGAAATTGGTTTGACTTGAAGAATTCTCCACTGATCAACACTGTCTGCTACCACTCTCGCCTCTGTTTTCAGGGGCTTTACCACAGCACGTTTGAGGATTTATTCCAGTCCCGGCAGGATCTGAGAGCAACCTGACCGGTCAGCTGTTCCTCAGCACCTCTTTTTCCTTCTTTATAAAAATAACCTGAAGTTTGCTTTTCTGCACTTTTCTGGCATCACCTCTGTTCCTCATGAATTCCTTTAAGTATCTGTTACGAACGTACTGGAGATCAAGCCCGTGGTCTTGGCTGCTGGTATTAATTGCGACAGCTATGCAAGCGTAGCTGTTTTTCTCCTTATGTGCTTGTGCTCAAGTGTTGTACTACTTCTTTGTACCAATCCCACCTATCTCCCACCTCCTTTCCACAGGCTGTCTGCTCGTGTTTGAGGTCAAACCAGACCCCAGACCTAGGGAAGTCCATCCCCTTCTACATTTCCTGTCTTTCATCTGAAATTAAATTTATGCTTATGCTCTAATCCTTTCTTGAAGGAGCTGTCAGCTCTATTCCACCTCTCATTTTAGCTTTCCTTTGCAGAGGAGGGGAAGTTGACAAGAACTGTTAATACAGAAGAGGACCGGGATATCAGAGAGGACAGGCTGGATGGCTTTGAAGCGTAATAAGCACGGAATGAGATTCAGTCATACAAAATGCATAGTCCTATAAATTATATATACATGGGGAATAATAAACTTTCCTGCTGGATGGTGCAGCTCCTCAGATGGAGCTGTGGAAGACAATGTCTGCACGTACCGAGTTGCTGTCGCACAGCCAGGAAAGGCAGAAATACAATCCTAAAAGATCAGTGGAAATACCTCCAGCAGACATGGGGCAATACTGATGCCACTCAGTAGGTAGGATTGAAAATCCTGGGAGTAACGCAGTCATCTACATACAGAAAGATCAATTTAAATGAGAACAATTTCACAGAAGGGCTCCTGGGAAGGTCAAGAAGTGGTCAAGCAGAGCTTGCCTGGTTGGCCATCAGTGCTGGGAAAGGGTTGACAGCACCACTGCAAAAGGCTACGGTGATGGGCACGGAGGGAGAAGACCTATTAGGGCTTAAAGAACAGCGCTGGCACGTCCTCACGTGTGCAAACTGCTCCCCAAGACCATTAAGCTGGGAAGGAGAAGGCTTCTTCTAACCTCCAGAAGGAGGAGCACAGGTTTGGAGGAGGTCTTCTGGCTCAGAGCAAGCCCTCCGGTGTCATGGGTCACTGCTTAGAAGTCTCTCAAAAGTTCATCAGTCCCTTTGGAAAGTGGTGAGGTTATTTTTGCCTAACTACTAAAGCCACAGCTACTAAGCTATGAAGCAGGCTGCTAGCCTGACTTGAAACGTTTAAGCTAGCTACCTGATCTACTTCTAAAATTTATAATCTCTTTCATTGGATTTCCCGTAAGAAAAGCCCACCGACTCCTGCTGTAATAACTCTGGCCAGTTCTATCATCTGCCAGCTGAGTTCTTCATCACAGGACGGGATTTCCCCAGCAAAGGTCCTATAGAGCAGCAACGCTGCGCGCTGGGCTTTTGAAGACCCTGGCTTTGAACAGCACTTGAGACCTCGACTTCTCCAAAAGCTTATTTTCCACATCTGTTGGGAAAATAAAAGGGGATGGTAACAGAAAAGGAGGGAATATAAAACCAGCAAGAGTGGTAAAGTTCAAGGGAAAGGTTCAAGCAGGAAAAGGCAGCTCTATATCATAACAAAAACCCCCAACCCAAACAAAAAAGCCCCCCTGGAAGCCCTCTGCCTGCAGAGCCATCCAGCTGGGCATCTATCTGCAAGGGGAAGGCTCCAAGCAATGCCAAGTCACTGCTCCTAGCAGAAGCACTACGGCCATGGGTTTTAGCACTGAGCCACTTCAGATGCACCTAAGCTAAAGAAAATATTTGCAATAGATGAGCTGTTGTTGGGTAAAACTGCACCTGTGGCCCAGCAAGCAGCAGAAGACCTCTAACTGCGCTTCAGGGAGCACGGTCTAGCCCCCAGCTTCTGCAGCCCTAACATCTGCTGGATCATTTCCAAGTGCTTCAGAAAAAAACAGATGGTGATGCAACTCGAGGATATTACATATGACATGTTTTCTTTTATAAAGATTTATAGAGTTTACTCCCCTCCCCTCCACCCTGATTTTTCTTTCTGCACGCTACGCACTGCTATGATTTACTATAAACACAAAAATATCAAAAACTTCTTTAGGACATATGCTGATATAAATAGTATATTAAAAAATCCCTGCATTCGCTTA